TGTGTGTGTGTGTGTGCGCGCGCGCGTGTGCGTGCACCAGTCCTAGTATTTGAATTCAGATCCTTGGCACTGTCCCTAGGCTTCTTTGTTCAAGGCTACCACTTGAGCCATGGCTCCATTGTCAGCTACTTTTGGTGGTTAATTGTAGATAGGAGTCCCATGGACTTTCCTTCCAGGCCTGGCTTTGAACCACAATCCCCAGCCTCCTGAAAAGCTAGAATTACAAGCATGAGCCACAAGCACCTGGAGAGTTCTTTTTTGTTTTTTGTTTTTATGTTAACATTAAGGCTAGATAATATAGATGGACAATGATGAGATTCAATCCCAACCTCAGAACTTCTAACAGAGCACTCTGAAATAAGGATATTTGTGGATTCTTCCATGGAAGTGAGAAGTAGAGTACGGGATGGGGCTGTTATTAAGTGCTCAGGAAGAGCAACTACAGGAATGTCTGTTCAGAGAACTAAGTGAACGAGTGGACAGGCCATAGAATCCTATCACTCATGACTACCTTTACTCAGGGGCCCACAAACAGCTGTTTTGGCTACACACACACACACACACACACACACACACACACACAAAAGAACTGCTGCCCACCTAATTTTTATAAATCACATATCATTAATGAATCTAGATTCATTTGTATCTCTATTGCAAAAAAGAGAACAACAAATTTTATTTTCATTTTTATAACAGTTGTTTTCCCTGTATTTATTTTTTTAACAATTTAAAAGTTACACTATTCTCTCTACCAAATTCATATTATTGTTTCTGTTGATCTTAAGTACTAGTGGTGTTTTGGGGGGGGGTGTTGTTTTTTGTTTTGTTTTTGTCAGTTGTGGGGCTTGAACTCTGGGCCTGGGCGCTGTCCTTGAGCTGCAAACGCTCTACCACTTGACCTAAAGCACCACTTCCAGTTTTCTGGTGGTTTATTGGAGATAAAAGTCTCATGGACTTTCCTGCCCAGGCTGGTTTTGAGCTGTGATCCTCTCAGATCTCAGCCTCCTGAGTAGCTAAGATTACAGGCATGAGCCACCAGCACCAGGAAAATTAGTGGTATTCCAAGATTCACCTTTCAAAGGGGCATTGCAATGACCCATTTCTTCTAACCCAGTCCCCCTTTCCGTAGTCCTGCCCACTTCTGGTTACTACTCTGTGCTTCTGGGCTGCCATGAAATGAAGAGCTTTCATCCACAGGCCCTTCTTTTATCATGCCCTGCCTTGCTTCAGAAACCCATACTATTATTATTTTTTACAAAATAATAATAATGTTTTAAAGGAAAGCTTTCCTCAGCTCGTGGTATGCGAAAGGTGGACCTTCACATGTTTCTTTAAACACAGAATTCTTCTCCATGACACCAATTGTAAGCTGTGCTGTAATCATTTGTTTCCTGGCTTCTATTTCCCACCACACTAAGAAGAACCAATTTGTTTTAGTATCTGGAGGGTCTAGCACACAGCCTGATATATAAATATTTACTAACTAGAAGACTGACTTAAATGAAGGAATATAGAAATATGAGAAAGAAGCAGCCCTCAGAAACTTAACAATCAATCATTAGGCACATTATCATTTAATTTGACTTCTGACTAAAGAAAAGGAAGATAGAGTATGTGATGAGAGGAAAAGGTGTGATTTTGTCTGTGGTATTAATCAGTTAATGAAACTCCAAATTTTTCTTTCTGAATCCATAGAATTTAAAAAAAGGAGAGAAAAATTTCTTACTAGCTATCTAGCCTGATTTGCATGTGTTCAAATCTTCAAAGTATTCCTTTTGATTCTTTTAATCAATAGCTATTTTAGAAAAAAGCTCTTCATTACTTCCTAATTGTCCAGATTCATTTTCTTCATTTTTCCTTATTAGAGTCAGATTTTTCAAATGAGTTAAGTAGATCAGCAATTTCAGAATCATTATTGACTTTAAGCATTTTCTTCAGCTATTCACATGTCTCTGTTCTCTCTAAGACTACAGTCTTTTCTCCCTTTTTAAAAGGCCATCTGCTTTCAGAAGTTCTTTTTTCCATACATCTCAAAGTCAATTTTATCCTATCTGTGCAATACATGTGTAGAGGAATTCTACCCATATACACTTTATCCAGGGTTTGGAATAAAGATGAAATGATTTCCTATTATGATAACATAACAAAACCATATATATAGCTAGGTACTGGTGGCTCTCACATGTAATCCTAGCTACTCAGGAGGCTGACATCCAAAGGATCAGAGTTCAAAGTCAGATGAGGCAGAAAAGTCTATGAAATTGTATTTCCAAAGTAGCCAGCAAAAAAGCAGGATGGGAGGCATGGCTTAAAGAAGGAAACACCAGTCTAGCAAGCAAGCTGAGCAAGCATAAGGCCGTGACTTCAAACCCCTAATATAAGTAAATAAATACAACTCACAAAGATTTTAATCCCTTTTAATCAAATAAATTGAAGTTATTACTACCATATAAGATAATCCTTACAAATAATTTAAATAGATATTTTGATCATTAAGAATATAAAAATTAAAAACAACCTGCTGGTGGCTCTTGCCTATAGTCCTAGCTCCTGTAGAGGCTGAGCTCTGAGAGCTAAGGCTTGAAAATAACCCAGACAGAAACATCTGTGAGGTCTTCCTCTAGTTAATCAGAGAAAAGACAGAAGTAGAGGTGTGGTTCAAGTGGTAGAGCACTGACTGTGAGCAATAAAGCCAAGTGAAGAATGTAAGGCCCTGAGTTTAAGTCCCAGAACCAGTGCTTTCATGCATGTGTATGTGCACACCTACGCACATACTCACATACATACACACACACACACACACACACACACACACACACACACACACACACAGAAGGGGAGGGAGGGGGGAGGGGAAGGAAAGGGAAAGGAAGGGAAGGGAAGGGAAAAATTTTAAAAACATATACATTGGCTGCAACAATCCCATGGCTGGGAATATGACTTGGAAAACTACAAACATCCTACTGTTCATTGGTAAATGATGAGCTGAGAAACAGTAGTACCCTGAGATCCTAAGGTATTAGGCAGCTGCTTATAGAAAGCTACAGTAGTCCAGAGAAAGATTTGAAATTTCTTTAACTTTTTATAGTTTGGTATTATTTATGTATTTTGGAACACAGCATTAAAATTGTTTTTATTGGGAAACACACATATATAATATATATTATATATAGAAAAAAAGGACAAAAGTAGGAGAATAGTATCAAAATAGGATCAATCAGGTCAAGTATTACATGTTCACAAATCAGAACAAAACTCCAGTGACAAGGTAAATAGCAGCTCAAAGGCTGTATTGTTAGATTGTAGACAACCTGCTTAATAGGTTATGTACTCTGTCAACTATACTCTTGAAAGATCAGCTTTTGCTGAAATCATGTTAATTTCTTTGGTGTAGAAAGTTGTTAAGAATTAGAATGGGCTGGGAAGGTGGCTCAGTGGTAGAGCGCTTACCTTGCATGCATGAGTCCCTGGGTTTGATTCCTCAGCACCACATAAGCAAAAAGAAAAAAGCTGTAAGTGGTGCTGTGGCTCAAGTGGTAGAGCGCTAGCCGTGAGCTAAAGAGCTGAGGGACAGCGCCCAGGCCCAGAGTTCAAGCCCCACAACCAGACCCCCCCAAAAAAAAGAATTAGAATAATCAAAATAGCCAAGCACTGATGTAGAAAAGGAAGGATAAATTACCCTAGGTAGCACTCCTTAACCACTACCATTGCATATGTCTTCCTAATTACCTTTCTCTTCCTGGCTGGGATATGTTGCAAGATTTACCAAAACAAATGCATTTGTAAAGTGGTCATTAATTTTTGTAATTCTTGATGAAACAATGACACCTGTAATTGTACATCACAATGACTGATCAAGATAAGAAAACTAGCATTACACATGTATATGAAATAATTTGTCTAGAGGCAAATAATTTATCATGGATCAATGTGTGGTTTCCATGACAGCTTAAAATCATAGGAAAAATGAAGATATATCTTGGAGCTCAAAACACCTACTGATCTATTTCAAAAGTAGTGTTCCATAGTCAAATAATGAATTAGGATTATAAGTCTGCTTATATTTTAATTTGCAATCTGAGTTTAGAAAGGCATAAGACAAGCAACTCAGGAAAGAGCATCTGGGGTTAACTGATAATAAGAATTACTCTGAAGTGGTCCACAGAAAAGATGAGCCTAAATTTTCTTTCAAGGATACTGACAAAGGCCTGGGTAATAAATACAAGAAAAAAACTGAGCCACAGGAGACAATGAATGCAATATTTTCATGAACTTTGTGCATATATATCTCCAACTCCAGTAAGGTAGGTTTCACTTGGTTTTCCCTTTTCTGAAAGACACATTCTCTGGAGGAGAATCAGAAGATTAAGCCAAAACCAATCCTTTGGAAATACCCCCTTTCATAGTGGATTCAGGAAAGCTTAAGGCAATGGCTATTGCAAATACTTCCCACATCGAAAACATCTTAAATGTACCTGTCTGACATTGACAGTTGAAACCCAGGTTGCCACTTGTTGCGACTTTGAGAAACGTTTAAGATATGATACTTTTGTGGGTTTACTTCAATAAAAAGCATGAAACCATCATCACCAAACTCCACAATTCGTGTTAATGCATTTTGTTTATTCACAAAGCACAGAGACTTCCTAGGAGAATAATGTACCAGGGATTTCAATCCATGGTCCGCTAAGAGATTTCACATCTAGGGTCAGATTGGCGTTTTCTTATTCAGCTGTTCTTTCCTTTACCACTATTTGGCACTTACTGTTACCCTTTGAATTCTTAGGTTCAATAATTAAAACTAAACTACAAAGCCCGTTTCACGATGCTTGTTACTTGGTAGGTTGTAGATTTCTGCTTAGTGGCTTGTTTTAAATGATCAGCAATCCCCAGAGAGCTAACCCTACCATTTGTCTGCATCAACAAAATGGTCTGGTCCCTCAGAGCAGAGCAGACAGTGCCAAATGATAATGAAAGGATCCTACTGGAGAACTCACCCTATTGACAGGAGGGCCCATGAAATCCCTCTGAACAGCGGCACTGCTGGCCCTCACCAGCTGAGCACTTCTTTCCATTGAAACGACTCCCCACCACAGGAGTAGCTGAAAGGAAGGTGGGAGAATGGCGTTGAGGGGAGGGAAAGAAGAAAAATCAATGTAGGCATCATGTTGCTAATTTAACAGTCATGGAGACATTTCTACAAGCCTCTCCAGAGTAAGGTTCAAGAGCAATGCTGTTACAAATTAAGGCCTTGCTCTCTGAATTCTCTTAGAATTCATTCATATCACCAGGAAGCTTACACAATTACCCCATCTCAGGCCCATCCCAGGCCTGTTGAATCCAAATCTAAAACAAGGCTAAGGGTAAGATACCAGGTTGGTCTAGATAAGTTGCATAAATAAGACGACCGAACCAATCTAGAATGAATACACATTAATACTTAACCAGAGGCAAAGTACTGTGACAGATCTTGCACAGGTAAAGCATATAACAAGTTCAGCCCACAATTGTGATATCCCAGGAGTTGTGATGGTATTGTGTCCACATCTTCGCACTCATCTTAAACCAGACAGGTGAGGTGGCCAAGAACTTCTTGTAAAGACACAACTACCCTGGATGTACCAGTCAACACTCTGCCTGCTTGACAGAAGAAGTCTGCAGCAACTTTACTAAGGTATTTCCAGAGCAAAAAGCACATTGGGGGAGGATGTAGGATGCTGACCCAACTCCTATGGTGCACAGCAGCAGGAGAGATAAATTGTGCTCCAGTGCTGTGCTGATTGCAACACACCAAAGGGTTTTAAGTGACTTGGAAACAACCATGAACACATAATGTAGGCAAAGGAGTTGCTAAACAGAGCCATTTCTCCTTCTGTGAATGAACTGTCTATAATGCCACTAACTCTGATACCTGGGTGCTGTCAAATGTTCTCCTGAGGTTCTGAAATGCCCTCAACCAGAGGTTTACAAAAGGACTGCATGCTTCATCTTAAAAAGTAAACTGCCTCTAGAGTTGTGCAATTAATCATGATAAGTACACGTTGAGAAATCCCATTTAGATTTAGTACAGTGATTTCCCCCTGGACTTTTGAATCAACTGCGGATTACAAATTTGATGATATGGGAAAGAAGCAAACAGAAAAGAGAGATGGACGCCAGGGTATAACCTGTCTGGCTTTAAATCAACTGTCTTTTTAAATCAAGAGACAGAATATAAAGCAGCCCTTCCACAGGTCCTAAGCTGTGACCCATCATTAGGAACACTCTGCAGAAGGCTTTTTGTGCATTTTTCCACAGGTCATGTGTGAATATTTAGTCCAAGGCAATGCTCTGAATCCGAAAACCTGGCAGGCATAATACGCAGGAATCCCCACACCAAGCAAAACCATTGCTTCTAGTGAGAGAGTCTGAAGGGAAGAATAACAACTTACAGTGCAGGCAGCCACATTCATCATCCCACCGGCTCCAGCCAGGACAGCACCTGTAGACTGTCTGCAGCTGTATGCTGTGCACCTGTCTGTATGTGGTGTAGTACCAAGTCCTGAGAAACACAGGGATCTGAATCAGGAAAGGGTAACATTCCTCTTAAGGCAGTGCTTCTCATTGCTTCTAAAAACATAGTACCGTCTGAAGGGTCACTCAGGAGATCAAGAAAGAAAGACAAAATGGAGACAAGGCTATCCTAAAGGGCAGCAAGTGTCATTGATGTGAAAGGCTCCTCATAGACTGTCTCCACCTCAGCTCACAATCTTAACAGTATGCTGTCATTCTGAAAGGGGCCAATAGTTTTTTCTTAGAGGTGGAATACAAAATTACCAGGTTCTAAAAATGACATATAGCCTGATAAGTACACAGTACATAAACAGATCAACATATGTGTGCTGTGCCAAAAGTTCACAGTGAAGAGAAGTTGTTCAGGAAATTAAAGACCAAAAAAAAAAAGTTACCAAATATTGGCTTTCCACATCAGTGCCATTTTTATCCTTTATCCCAGAAGTGCTGAAACATTCTCTTCTGTTTGTATATCTCTCTTCATATCCCAGCCAATCCCATCAATTCAATTTTCATTTCCTCCCAACTTCTCTTTCCCCTCTGTGTGTATGTATATTGTTCTTTCTCATCTTTTAGAAACAAGAGCTCCAGCTGGGTGCTGATGGCTCACACCTGTAATCCTAGTTACTCAGGAGGCTGAGAACTGAGGATCAAGGTTCAAAGCTAGACCAGACAGTAAAATCCATGAGATTCTTATCTCCAACTAAATACCAAAACACCAGAAATGAGGCTGTGGTTCAAGTGGTAGAGCACCAGTTTTGAGTGAAAAAGCTAAAGGACAGTGCCCAGGCCCTGAATTCAAGCCCCAGTACTGCCACAAAACAAAAACAAAAACAAAGAACAAAACAACACTACCACCACGGACAACAACAACAATAAAAAGGCAGAGCTTTTTGGCACATCACTGTTTAAAACTTTTAATTATTTGCCATCTTGTAATATAGCCGAATGTTTTTCATGTGTATCTCTCCAATTGGGACACAAATGTAAGTTTGTATGCTTTTATATGAACAAAAAGTCTATAAGTTTGACAAAGATTCTAAGCATGTTTCAAACTGGCTGTCACTCCAAGGAGGTGTTATGCACAAAATGCATTACTTAGTGTGACTAGTAAGCTCTTTTGGATAAAAATATAAAACCTGTTTTACTTATTCATACTTGTTTTCTTCTCAATTTTGAATACCTATCATATCTTTCTTCCCTTGCTTCAGATTAATACTGACAATGATTAAATCCTGCAGGGGTTATACATAAATCTAAATTAAAAAATATTCAGAAACAAGTATCCTAATGAATAAATCACATACCCATAAGTATGGTTTTCATTCTGATTTCTTTTAAAATAAGCTTTCTTGCCATTGCATTATACCAACACATATTGAGAATACACTGCATACCAAGCACTGTACAAAATGTGTTAAATATGTTTTCAGCTTATCTCCATAATATCTATGTACGGCATTGTTTTTCCAACTTTATAGATAGACTGAGGCACAGAAAAAGGTAGAAATTGTGTCTAAGGCCACACAGCTATTAAGAACCAGAGAAAAAAAATTTCAGATTTAAATCTCATTTAAGTACCCTGAATTTAGACCAAGAATCTGAAGGCTAACTTCCCCTCCCCCATAAACACACAACCACACAAAAAGTATGTATGTATCTATATAAATATCTGAAATTATAAATTCAGTCTGGCAATGTTTCATCTAGTTCTCTTTTGTGACTGTTCTCATACATAAAAGCAAACAATTATTTATAAACAAACATTCCAATGTTTCCATCAAAAAGAACACTTTGTTTTAAGGTTAGGGGTGCCCTGAATTTAGATCTATTTGATTCCTTTAAATAACACTCAACCCATCAGCAACTATCTGTATCAAGAGGTTCTTAGATGTTTTGTCAAACTATTTTAAAACTTTGAAAAAATGAAAAAGCCTGGACCAGCAGAAAGCATTGTGGACACTTGCTTTTCTGCTCTCTTCCCAGCCTGCTGAGTTAATCCTAATTCAAAGGCCATAATAAAGTTAAAGCAGCTCTAGGTTTCAAAGTGTAACAACGGGGCCAAAGGTAGGTCAGGCATTAGTTCACAACTGTAGATACCCCGGATCTAAGACCTGCTAAATTTAGCACACCAACACAATATTCCTTGTTTCTGTCCATGTTCTGATCTTGAGCTTACAATGCTATCTCATGCCAGCAGGTAAAATTAGTGGCATCTTACCCATAATACTCCCACATACGTGAGAACTATAAGTCACCCCAGATCCCATCCCTGAAGGGAAAAGCATCATCCTGAATCATCCCAGGGGGGCAGGCTGTATCCCCTTTATTTGTGATGTAAGAATTCTTTCCTAAAATGCATTAGGTAACATATTTTAGGAGCTGGGAGGCTTCTGATTTTGATTTTTAATAACCTAAAGGCAGAAAGCATCGTTACCTCCTTTCGTAGCCAGCACACCAGCTGAGGCACCGGCAACCTGGTTTCCAGCATTTGACGATGTGTGTGAAGGCTTACACGCATGGGTGTACAAGTCGCACTACTGTCAGCTCTGTTCTTCGCAAACATTTGGCCTAGAAAATAAAAAAAAGAGCAGTGGTGTCATAGATATATGTCTGTTTTCTATAAAAATATGAATGATTTATTTCTTCATTTTCTACAAAATGTTTGCAATCATGACTACTACAGAATGTAAAAGAGAAGAATGCAAGTAATACTTGTAGACATTCTAGATGTAATACATGTATGGGTAGCTATTACATAAAAAATATTAAAAATAAAATATTTTGTAACTATCAGGATCAGGAAGAGGAAAAATCAGAATAAAGACCAGGAAATCTAAATCTAAATCAGATTTCCCATACGGTTAGAAAACAAGCTGCAAATTAAATTCTGAGTTCTTTGATAGTTAAATTTCTTTTTGATCAGAATGTTGAAGGATGAAAGGGGTGACATTGATAAAGATGCATTGTACTCCTAAATTTGTTTGTTGAATTGCAAATCCTCTGTACAACTACTTAAAGATAATAAAGAAGTATACTTAAAAAATCAGAATGTCACAGTCTCAAGATGCATGAGCAAAAGGGAAGGCATTGAAAGAGATGGGAGGAGAAGGGAAGTCATTGATAAAGATGCATTGTACTCAGAAAGTGACATGTTGATAGCTAAGATATGGAACCAACCCAGAGGCCCCGCAGTAGATGAATGGATCAAGAAAATGTGATATATATATATATATATATATATATATATCTCATATGTGTATATATATATATATATATATATATATATATACACACACACACAATGGAATTCTATGCCTCCATCAGAAAGAATGATATTACCCCATTTGTTAGAAAATGGAAAGACTTGGAAAAAATTATGTTAAATGAAGTAAGCCAAGCCCAAAGAAACATAGGGCCTATGGTTTCCCTTATTTGCAATAACTAGTACATATGTAGGACAAGTAGAAAAGGCCAAAAGCTATGTACATATGACCATATAAGATGATGTTAAGCGAAATGAACCCCAAGATAGGGACACAAATATCTTTTTTCTTTCTTGCTATTGCTTCTAACGTATTTATAATGTACCATGTGATTTTTTTGTTGCTTTGTATGTTCCTCCCCACAGTATAACCTGTTTTCACTGTATTTGATGTCAGTGCCCTGCATCATGTATATACACTTCTCTAATTTGGGGAGGGGAAGGGAAAAAAACAAAATGCTGATATAAGGATACAGGTTGACCCATTGTAACAATGAAATGTACAAAACACTATGTTGAAAATGAAATGTACAAAACAATGAAATGTACAAAACACTATGCTGAAAATGAACTTTTGCGGGGCAGGGGGTGGGGAGTAGTGGAGGTGGGAGGGAAGGGATGGTAGGGGAAAAACAAAGGAGGAAGCAACAATACTCAATAGGAAATGTGCTCATTACCTTGCTCATGTAACTGCAACCCCTCTGTACAGCATTTTTACAATAAAAAACATACAAAAAATAAAATTGATGGAGAAAAACACACACAAATAAAAGAAAGTGACATGTTGAAACTCCTTTGCACTATTTAGATATTTAGAGCTAATAAAACAAATTTTAAAAAGGAAACTAATTAATCCAAAGATTAATTGGGGCTGGGAAAGTGGCTCAGTGGTACAGTGCTTGCCTTGCATGCATGAGGCCTTGGGTTCGATTTCTCAGCACTACAGAAGCTAAAAACGACAGAAGGGGCGCTGTGCCTCAAATGACAGAGCACTAACTAGCCTTGAGTTGAAGAGCTGAGGGACAGCACGCAGGTCCCGAGTTCAGGCCCCAAGACCAACAACAACAACAAAAAGAGCTAATGTTCCCCTAGAAGTTATTTCTTTTTTCTTTAATTTGGCCTTTCTAATATTTTTTGGGGGGGGTCTGGTAGTGGGGCCTAAACTCTGGGCCTGGGCACTGTTCCTCTGCTCTTCAGCTCAAGGCTAGTGCTCTACCACCTGAGCCACAGTGCCACTTCCAGCTTTTTTTCTTTTTGCTTATGTGGTGCTGGGGAATTGAACCCAGGGCCTTATGCATGCAAGGCAAGCGCTCTACCACTGAGCCACCTTCCCAGCCTCGCCTTTCTAATATTTTTATGTACATTAGTATCTTTCAGGAGTTGTACAAAGGAGTTGCCGTTTTACTAATAGTTTATGAATACAGTGCATCTTGATGAACGCCACCCCTTTCCACATTCTCACCCACCCCTCCTTCCCTGCCCCTCACTCACTCTTCTTAGTTTTGTAGAATATACACCTGGGATTCTTCACTGCATTCTACCCTTCTCTTCAACTGCCTACCACTTTTCTCTTTTGAGTCCTTGCTTCCTAGTGTTTTAGTTTGCTGAACTTTGATTTTTACCTTTCTAAGGAATTACAACTACTTGAGATTTTCTTTGAATTTACCTTATTTCAGTTAATAAAATGGCATACACTTGCATACCATCCAACATATTTATTTATAAGGTTATCATCTAAAGCTAGCTTCTACATAAGGGTAAACATGGGAACTTTGTGTCTCTGTACCAGACTTACTTCACTTAAAATAATTTTTCCAGGTCTTTCCATTTCTTTACAAATGATACAACATCTTTCTTTCTAATGGGTGAGTAAAAATCCATTGTGTATAGATACCACATTTTCTTGATCCATTCATCTGTTAGAAATTATTTCCAAACAATATTTTCAGTCTTTATGTTTACTATAATTGAATTTCACATGTAACACTTGTTACACTTTTTCCTACTTGAATATTAATATCCCCTTATTCCGATTTATAGGATGTTAGGATGCACTGCTTTTGATTTTTAATTGTGTAGGGCTAGGATGCACTGTTTTTGATTTTTAATTGTGTCTGGCTAGAAGGTAACGATAATCTAGGGTCCCAGAATTAATGCCTTATAATCTTTTGTAATTGGAAGAATGCTTTTAATGCAGGTAGAGTTTCTAGTACACATCATTTTGCACTGATGATAGCAGAAATGGTCAAGTGAGTTGGGCCACGCATTCATCCTCATGCATTCGATGTCCCTGACAAGCCATGCACTGACCCCCACGAGGATGTGTAAGATGATTCAGACTCTGCTGTTCCTACCTTCAGGAGGCTCATATCCAGTCTAGCATAGTCTCCCTATTCACAATCTCAGGAAGTGTACAGGATAGTTTAGCCTTGTGTGCTTATAGTCCACTAGAAATAGAAATAAGCTTCAAGAGTTCTACTCAGCTCCTAAACACCTCTGTGAATTTGTCCAGTGACAGAGCAATGATACCATTTTGTCTCCCAGTATGGCCCGCGTTATGTGTCTGCTACATTGCTCTCTGTGGCTCTGGTTCCCTTTGTGGTCACTTCTTTCTCTGGATGCAATTCTCACCATCTGATTTCACTGATAGCCCAATTCTCACCTCCATATACAGTTCTGAAAGGTGAGCATGAGGGCTGTTAACCACACTTTAACTGAATACAGTTCCAGATGAACTGTATTTACACATTTGCATGGGATACTGTAATACTTGAGGTAAATACTATAATAAAATGTTAGGTGTAAAAAGGGTGCCTATTTTGGGCATCCAGTAATAGGGCAATCAGCTTACAGAAACTCTCAGCTTTAAAAAAAATTCCATATGAGGACTAGGTAAATTGAGGGAATGGATGGGTTTGGGAGAATTGGGGGGAGGGGGGAGGGAAAGGACAGAAGGCATGGCATCAGCCAAGATACACTGTGCTCATAAACCAACATGCTGAATTGTACAACTACTTATAGATAATTAAAAATGAATTTAAAAAATAAAGATTCCATGTTAGATCTTGTATGAACTGCCATAAGCATGCCTTGATGCAAGTGTCTGCTTTCTGTGAGCCAACCCGGTCTTACATAGAATGAGCTCACAGCACTTTCAACAGTCTGTTGTCAGTAGTTTAAATGGCTACATATCACCCCAATTTGGACTCTACTTTTCAACCTCTTCTCCATCCATCCATCCACTCACTCATCCATTTTTTTTTTAAAAAAGCTATTTATTGTGAAACTCCAGGCATAATGGATTGTGTCAGATGTAGTCTTTCAAATAAGGTTTTGGAGGAGATTGAGTTTTCTTGAAAGGCACATAAAACAGGGACCAGGAGTGATGAAGGGAGACAGAGAAAAAGAGCTAGTCAGCAAAATATGCCTTACTGGGCTAGTCAACACTGTGGATAACAACCTTCCAGAAGGTGAGGAAGTCTGGGTTGTTTCTACACTGGTCCTCAGTGATTGGTTGAGAACTGGTCCCTCTACAATCTTTCACACCCAAAGCATAGACAAGAAGTCAGCTTCCAGAAATCAAAGTGAGTCCTTAAGGAGAGAAAAAGAGAAGTTGGTACCGGCAGAGTGAAAGAGAAGAGGCCTGGACAGCGTGATGCTGGAATTTTCAGATCCAAGTGATACAAACAAAAGTACAGTCCTTTTCTCTACAGATAATCCAAATAGAAGAGACAAGAAGTCAAAAGCAGCTAACTAGATATACATATGACCATATAAGATGATGTTACACGGAATGAACCCCAAAATAGGGACACAAGTGGTTTTTACTTTCTTGCTATTGTTTTTAACGTATTTATAATGTACTATGTGATTTTTTTTGTTTCTTTTGGATGTTCTTCTCCCACAGTATAACCCCTGTTTTCATTGTATTTGATTCTGGTGCCATGCATCTTGTATATACATTTTTCTAATTTGGGGAGGGAAAGGGAAATAACAAAATGCTAAAATAAGGATACAAGATGACCCATTGTAACAATGAGATGTACAAGACACTATGTTGAAAATGAACTTTACAACTTGGGGGAGGGGGAAGGGAAGAGTTGGGAAGATGGTAGGGAAGGGATGGTAGGGGAAAAACAAAGCAGGAGGGAACAATGCTTGATAGGAAATATACTCCCTTACTCATGTAACTGTAACCCCTCTGTACAGTATTTTTACAATAAAAAAAACATATTTTAAAAAGCAGCTAAGTAGATACAGAAGGTGATGTGTTAAGATGGAAGAACACTAAAAAGATAAAGACTCA